GCTGGTACGCCTGATAGTCATTTATGTCTCTTGTCAAACAAAGTGCGGATGCAGCATAATACATCAAAAACCACCCTCGAATACAGACACACAATAAAATTTATCGCTCATTTGGCGCGGCGAGGCGAACTTTCACGGGTTTATCTCATCTAGGGGGCAGCGCAACAATATAATACCCATACGAATGTGCACGATTATAATGGGACATATACTAATGGAGTTGTAATTTCGATAATGAACATTACCGGACACATATCAGCCATAGTGCATAATCATTTCAGATGCGAACGCCACATTTAAATCCATTATCAATAATTGTAATAGATCCTGATAGAGACATGCTAAACTGGAACATCGCCGCAACCAGATCGCTCCAGATACGTCTCGGATCTTAATGTCGAACAAATTTGGGCCTCGTCGTCCATCGATTATTCAAATGGTTTAATGTTAGACGTTACACGTTATTAATAACCGAAAACAACTACCACCAATATATCATTTCACCCTGAAGACGAAAATAAACACATTCACGAATACCGAAATAATCACATTTGCTTATCGGTGCTGTACCCATTTATATGTTATAATTAGTCTAAAATGAAGGTTCAAATTAGGGCTAATCGCCTATTTTCCAAAAATTTCTAATTTTAACTTAATTGTGTTAAATTTAAATTAATAATTCATTATTAAAGTTTCAGAGAAAGTTAAATAACATAAGTTCATATAGGTTTAAGAATGGCTTCATGCAGCATTAATTTAATTTATGAGGTTCGCAAGTTTTAATCCACTGAACAGTAGATTTTGCTTTGATCATATTTAAACTTGTTAGGTTAGAGTGAGAAGCTATGAATAATATAGACATATTATAGAAGCCTTTACAGAGTAGAAATTAATTTGAAAATAAGTTCTATTCAGGTATATTAATGTACATAATGGAATATTCATTATGACCATTTCCAATGGGAACATTTCCAATGGGACGTCAATATAGGTATCAATACAACCGATATCGGGATCATCATTTATACGCAGTTATATAATTCAGGTGCTTTAGAAGTTGAGCCAAAGTGTCTTTAAATTAATCACTGGGATCGAAAGATTCGATATTCCGGACGTTGGTATCTTCGATTTACATAATTAAGTTAATGCAATTTAAGCTGATTTGGACTAGGTCAAAACAAGAAACGGCTAGAGACTATCGATTAAGACCCACAGCGAGAAGGGTAAAAGGTAAAATTTAAAATTTTGATCTAATAGAATATGCACATGGAAACAATTTATCCGAAGGTTTTACTCAGGTGAAATTGAACGTGTTGGGTGTAGGGATCGAGACATCAATATCTTGAGTCGGTGGAAGGATGGTGTCGGTGGTCGACGGGGGGCGGCGTATGAGCTGCGGGTGGATAGTTTCGGAATGGCAAGCGACTCGGTTTGTGGCAATTCCGAGCAGCCAAGCCGCCCCCCGTTCAAACGAACTCGATAACTTTGTTTTTGTGTATTTGCTCAGAAAGTAATTCGGCCGAAAGTTCAACGGCCGTATGTTTCCCTTTTCCGAAGGGCGGTTTCAAGGAGAAAGAGAATAAAAAAAACGCAACTACATCGCCGCCTCCGACGCCTCAGCCACCCCCATCTGATCAGAGAGATAGGACCCGAGAGGAGGCTGCGATTGAATGCCAAGATATCTCAATGAATAATAAATATGATTAAGTGCAATTACGAAATAAAAAATGGAAATACGAGAAAGGGGGATGATGAAGAGGCGAGTGGGCGGTGAAAATCAATTTTTCGGTTGGTATATGGCATGTCGTGAATGGGATCTTAAAATAACACTGGCCCCGTGTAGTTTAGCAATCGAAATGTCTAGCCGCCTAGTGTATCGTGTGCCGCACATAATTACCCTTCATCCAATGCAAACTTATACATCCAGCTATATCAATTTAATTATAAAATCGTTACCCCTAATGCATGTACAATTATTCCAGTGTAGTCTGTGTTTCGTGGCTCCATTAATGCAAATATAAATTAGGAAAAACGAAACAAGATTACAAACTACGTTCTATTATTTCTCACTGAAAAAAAACATTTTTAATCCTCTGAAGAAAAAAAACTAAATACTGAAAATATATCTGGCTTGGAATAACATTAGACAATACACATGTTGTATTGTGATCTCTAGAGATAAAGCCAAAATAACACTTATTGCATATGTAGCAAAGTTCAACAGGTTTTCAGTATTTATACTCAGTTAATCTACTTAATATAGTAACAAAACCTCTATAAAATATTATTTTAAATTCAGTCACCAATCAATCAACCAAACAAAATTCAACAGAATTTACTAAAACATGTACAAGCTACTAGAATATAAAAATGATAAAGTCCTTAACTTGAATACAAGAAAAACAAAATTGTTTGTTTCTTCGAAGAATTAAGATGTATTTATATTAAGAAAAAAATTATCAAATTCATGGAAATAGATTCAAATCATTTTTAATTCAGACATTACTTTCACTAATAATAACCATCCATTTATTTCTTTATATACGTATGTTTTGCAAAATTATTGAAAATATTTGTTGGGTAAAAATTGAAAAGAAAAAGGTATTTTCTAATTAAATAGTCAATTAAAAGGATGAGAACAATTAGTGATAAACGCAGATGAAGAGAGACGCGAAAAGGAAAACGAAAAAAATGAAATTGCAAGATTCAAATATAACAATAAACTGTTTATCTGTGAAATCCGATCTGACTGAGAGCATTCGATGAATCCGATAGCTGGCGGCAGTATCGAATTATCGAGTTTGAAGGCGGGTTTGCATCATTAAAGCGATGCTTTATTTAAATAGAAATGGGATTTAGCAGCGAGACGGAAACTGTTAATTGACAGACAATGCGAGAGAGGGGAAAACAGTTTCCATCAAATTGCCACTCGAAAAAATTAGTTCTTTTCAAACTACGAGAGGACAGTAATCAATAGTTGATCATTTCAACTTTACAGTTTCCTTTCAACAACGTTACGCAATTGAATTATTTAATGTTTAATTAAATTAAATATTATATATTGTAACTAATCAAACTAAAGTAAAGAAATAATAAAATAATCATTGAAAATCTGTATGAATAAACTTCATCTGCAATAATAAGTATTATCTAAATTCAAAATATTTTCATAACTTGATACATTTATTCTATAAATTTTAATTGATTTGAATATTATACTAGTATTTGATTGTAAACATAATAACAAATAAATACATCCATATTTTAATGTTATATAATATATTCATTTTGCAGTTTAATATAAAAAAAAACTAAAAATAATAATGATAATTTTCAGTTGTTGTTGTTGTTGGTAATTTTTATAAATAAATGTTGCTATTATTGTTATAATAATCTGTATTACAGAACGTTATAAAAGATAACATTTCCAAGTATTTTAAAGACTGTTATAATTCGCAAATATTACTAATATTGTATAAATCCAGAAAAACTTTTCAAATAGCATTAGCCTACATGATTTTGCAGATGTCGTACACAGATGTTTTTTCTTTGTTATTTCTTTGAAGTTTAGTGCTCGTTGCATTTCATGGATTTTATTTTGAAATTTTCTACAATTGATCCTTTGTGTCAGATGGTTATGGTGTACCTCCCTTATACCTTCTCCAAAGATGGTTTACAAAGGATAGCACAAACAAACCAAAAGTGTTTGCATTTAACCATAAAACTATAAGCTTTTTACCTAATATAAATCTGTAAAATAAACTTCATCCTTCAAAAAATAATGAAAATTTCCTGATTATAAATAGTACAAATATTTAAATAATTTTTGAATATTTAGAAAGACTTTGACACATCACAAAATAACAATCTGTTATATATTTTTGTATTATATTCGTTAAAAGATGAATATATGCTTTATAATATCATACTTCGATTTCGTAAAGTAAATTTTAAAGAGAAATAAATTGAAAATGTATCAATTTGAGTATACTAAATTACAAAAAAAAGAAAGAAAAGGTTAGATATAAAATTTGTAAATGGTTACCAGGTAAAATGCATTTGGGTCAGACTGTATCCAGCTTTATCATTAATTCAATAAAATTTCGGGAGGCGAATTGCATAATATATACACAACATTAATATAACAATAAATAATATCGTGGGAGGCTATTGTTTTAAAAACATACAGGACGGACGGATTACCGATTCCATTTGCGAATGAATTAAAATAAACGCATAATGTGTTTACACGTTGTTATTATTGCGCGAAATAAAATAGAATCATTTCATTTTCCACCCATTGAAAGCGCGAAAACTAAACATCGCGCAAACATAAAACAAGTCTCGTCCATTGTGAAGAGAGAGATGCAAAATAATAAATAATACACAAAAAAAATTATATATAATATGTGTATATGGAAATTCGTCAGTGAATTTACAAAAGGGTGGATCGATTCACATTTTTTTGGGATGGTTATGATCCGCTTTTGTGCAGGACAAGAGTTAACACTTCCAAGTATTTGAATCCTCATCAAGTTTGGTTATAAATCGGTGATTCATGTAATTATTCCATAGACGGTGGTTTGAGGATTTAACAAACAAGGCTTCCCGTGGAAACTATGTACAAATATTTGTTCCATCCGCAATATTTCGAATAAGCAGAGCAACAATACGAAAGGTAAATTTGCGTTTATTAAAATTACGGGGGAAGGAAGTCCGTCGAACTTTCGTTTGGAGTATGCAAATCATTCTGGCGAGGATTGTTAACCTCGAAGCGAAGTGCAGAAATCCGAGACGAAAGAATTGAGTTTTCCACAAAAAAAAAATATGAGCAGAACTCAGAAGTTCAGCGCGAGGGTTGGTTGGTAATAGTACCGTAATAAATATGAGTTTAATTGGCGCCTGGCGTTTATATCTTGAAGTGCATTTAAACGTTATAGACAGGTAACATGCGAGCATGCCGAATATAAGTAAATAAAAATATGAAAATATTGACTCACCACTTGCGAAAACTTGGCCGGTCGCAATCAAAATAAAAAGTGCGGCCAGCAGAGGGGCTCCTGCGCCCTTATGGGGGGGCATCATCATCAACCTGTGTAGGAATAATAAACAAAAATGCATAAGCAAACCCCGTTTTCTCCTCTTCCTCCTCTTCCACAAGAAGCGCCTCTCCGAAGATAGAAAAACAATCTTCAGGCGCTCATCTCGCCAACATCATCATCAAAGGCAAGTCACAACACACCAAAACACATTCATAACTACAACAACTACTTCGAATCACAGGTTTCATACACAATTTTTTAAATGGATTACTATAATATTTTGTTTAAAACAGCGCACCGATCATCTCTTGAAACGATTCAACTATAGATTTACTAACAACATCATTTCTTGCGGTGATTCGACATGAATTTGGTGCTTCTGCTATGCGTCGCATCCATAATTCACACACCGTCATCATAATCATCATCTACGCGACCACATTTTGTTTAGTTTTTTTCTCTTTCTCTTTTAATTCTATTACTTTTTACAAAGTATTATTAGATAATCCTTAATTTATTATTTTTTTATATATTCAGTTATGGAAGCACTAAGAGTACTACTAATAAAAATTATATCACGTGTGCCCTAATCAAAAGGCGTCGCGGTGCGCGCGAGAATCAAGCGACGCCGCGGCGTGACCACTACTAAACTCTGCTCGAAACTCCTGGACGCCCGGCGTCGCGACGCGGCGCCAAACCACCCTTGCGCCGGTCCCGCGATCTTCTTATATTATGTAGATCTACAAAGATTACTATCTCAAGTGGTTCGTATTAGTTCTAGTAAATCAGGCATCGATTCGCACTTCAAAATCTCAACTATTAAAAATAACATGTACCTAGTTTCCAAATGACAATCAAACAGGCCAATGTTCAAATCACATATATTACATCTTCTTGCAAACGTGACTAATGTATTAAAATTCATAAGAGTAAATATATTTTTAGTAATATTGATTTATATTAAAAAAAATAAATTTAGTAAACTAAATTCATTTTTAAATATGAACACTTTTCGAAGATCATCAAGAAAATTCTAAAAGCTTTAACTTGTTACAAGGAGATATACAGTGATGAAAAAATTAACTGTTCAAACAAAAATTGATAATTTCTTTAATAAAATATAATATTTTTGGGAAATATAATGTCTGTTTTGTTGCATTGTCTTTTTTATTGTCTACATTGCAATGTATTTGTAAGTAAGTATTTTGTTTATTTTAATTTTGTGTTCAAATGTATGCAGCAATACGTAATTTAACATACGAACAAATTCGACTTACGAACAACCCTTTGAAATGGAACTAGTTCGTAAGTCGGGGGATATCTGTACTAAATACATTAAAAAATCTAAAAAAGTTTTTTTTACTTTCAAATATAATTAAATTATTGAAAATATGTAATACTTATAGTTAGAATTGAACTATCATATGCAAATTGTTTCCAACTTATTCAATTTAATTTAATATTTAATGCAACATATAAATATTTATCTTTCAAAATATAAAGGCTAATCCATATTGAAATTGTTATTTAGTACCGAAAGCTTCAATATATAATAAAGTTCATTTTATTGATAAAAACTTTCCGAATGAAATATTTAAATTGTATGAAAGCTCAAATGAATATTTATAAACCTATATTCAAAAGCTTATTAATTATCTGAATATACTACTAATAATATTTATAAACACTTATATTTGTTCCACTTTGTTTAGATAATTAAAACGAAGAAATAAGCAATTACTTAGTGAAAATTACATGATTAGATATCAACCTCCATAGAGTATATAACTCAATAAACAGTTAATTTGTGATATTGACTGGACCTTGAGATTTTTCCACGTCTCATGTATATACACGTATATAAAAGTTGTTTGCGAGAGTCTGGAAGAAAACAGCCGACAGTAACTCCTGCTTGTCGTAAAAGGCGACTAAAAGGGAAACTTCCTAACCCAATTTTTCTAACTAATTCAATTTACCCTAACCTAACATATTCTAATTTAGCGTGTCTGCAGAGTTGTCACTTGCTCGTAGACCAATTCGACCGCCCGCATCAAGTAAAACATATCACATCTTTCAAGATTAACTCAATTTACTTTTCATTTCACTTGCTATCGGTATATATTTACTAGAGTAGTCCAGATCTAATTTCAAAATTGAATAAAACAAAATAAATAAATAAACATAAACTTTTTTTTATTTCATAGAAGTAAAGTTCGGGAAATGTAATAAATTAATATTCGCTTTTAATTAGAAATGCAATACACATAAATTATATAATAGTTTCGGATATGAAACTTCACTAATTACACCCATACGAATGATTAATTATTTATTGACGTTAATAATCTACGATCTATGGAAACATAATGAATATGTCATGCACACTTCGTGCACAATATTCAATCAGTGGATGTGTTTTTTTTTCCTGATGAAATGTGGGGAAGAAAGAACGGGCGAAATTTTTAACCGAACTCCAAAGAAATTGCAAACAAATGTAATACATTAAAACTTAAGTAAATGAATTTAAAACTTTAATATAGTTTTATGTTTCCCGCGGAGAGAGGGCACACAGTATGTATGTGCTGGATATAAATATTACTTTTGCAAACTTCTGATTACAATTTTTTTTTCACTCTATTCTTATTTGCTCTTCAAGAACATGAAACAATTTTTTTAATATAATTAAATTTTTGCAATTAATATATAAGAAACTAATTAAATTAAAAAAATCATTTACTAAACGTAAAAAAAACTGTTAATTAAAACTGTTAACAAAATCTTAATCTTATGTATGTATAAAGAAAATTAATACAATTATTTTGAAGTTATTTTATTAGATTCTTTCGTCTGCTTAACTTTCGTTTATTTTGGATGCGAGAAATATCGTGAATTTAATTAATTTCCATTATTTTATTTAATCTAAACCGCAAATTGCATATGTTTAATTTCATTGCCATTTAAACATTGCCATAATTCATAAGGGTTAGTGTTGTATGCGGAGAGGCTAACACGAGTAAATAAGATAAGTTCTGGCAAGACACTACTACAATGGGAACTGTTCAAACCACAAAGTTGGTGCCACAATGTTAGTGGTGGTGAAATAGTTTAATATTACATGGTGCGATGATACACGCATTTAGCGTTTCTACATGAATTAATACATTAAACTTTGCAAAACTGTTATTAAATTTCGTTTAAACTCGTTCCTATTTTTATATATTCTAGTCCATCACGTGCATGCCGTAACCTATCATTATAAACATATTACAAACTAGCATTCATAATAAATGGAAATGTAATCTGCTAATGTGATTTTTGCTAACCCAGATGAATAATAACTTATGTAATACAGTTTTCTTAAAATATCATTAATCCTTTTATCTTCTTAAAGCTTATTATGTAAAGCTGCTTAAACTATTATGATATAGCTTTATGTTTAAGTTTATCGTCTTTAATTTACATATTTATTATTTAATATATTTCACTTTTAACATAAAATTTAAAACTAGAAACGACACATAAAAATATACAATACTTTATAAATATATTTATTTAATCTAAATATTTATATCCAAAAGCCCTTTTTACTTAAAAAAATATATCCAAAATAAACAAATTGCACTGAAAGAAATAATCATTTTTATTCAACGTTCACACATGAACATTTTCGAAAAGTTTTCTATTAATATATTTAATACTGAAATTTAATACTTAGTCTAGATGAACTAATAAAGGTTTGTAAATAAATAATAAATGTAAAGGCTCTAAAGGCGTTATAAAATTATCGAAAATTAAACAACTTGAGAAGCGGAAACTACTTGAATGGTTGAAATATAGTATTCCCATAACGCACTTACAAACTTCGCGGTCAAATTTACATTGAATATAATACTATTATACTTTTTTTCTAAATCAAAATGATTTTTTGTTTGTTTAAATTATTAATTGAAGAGTACTTATGAATATTTTTTTCTTGTATAACAATTGTAATGAATAGGATTAAAAAAAATACATTAATTTTGTGTGCACGAAATAACTACAAGAAATGGAGCAACTGCAATGTGGTGCATACGAAACATACAAAGTACAAATATGACAATGTTGACGTTGATATTAATGGATTCGCCCATAGATTAAACGCTATTATTACACACACACACAAGTGTATTTACGTAACGCGGAGGCAGCATTTAATTAATGCCAGCCGTTCGATGGACGGCAGGACTTTCGTTGTCGTCCTGACTGCTGCGCATACGGCAAATCCACTTTATTCGCTTCGTACTTATTCAACAGTTTCAACGCTTTTAGAGATCTTTTTCTTCTCTATTTGTTTAATTTTTTTTTTGTTATAATATAAATAAGTAAATTTTGTGTAGATTTTTATAAATTAACTCCACTTCAAAAAATAATATATTTACATATTTTTGTATAAATTGAGAATTTTAATTATTGTAGTATTTCTTAATAATTGATGAAAAAAATGTTATCATGAAGTTTTAAAAAACTAAAACTATCATTTACGAACACAAATAAATCAATACGTAAATGTAGACTCCTAAAAATGTGTTTACTTTAGAGATAAATGAATGACTTGAGATAATATAAATAGTGTGAATCAATATATGTGGTGTGGAATTAATAGATGTTGATAAGTAGTTTCCTGTTTGATGAGTTGTTAGGTGGTGGTATTTTGTTGTCGACGATTAAGATAGGGAAACATTAGTGCCATTGGGATGTTCGAGAGTTATGAAGTTGTAAATTTGTCGGCTCGAGATAATCACGTGTGCAGCAACAATCAATGGGACTCTATCAAACGGCGGTACGTCTTCCTATAGTTTCCATATAACTTCGTAATGAATACGTAGCTATAGACATTAAATTTGATGGAAACTACGGCGCCGTGAATATGCATGTTTGCTGTTAAAGTCCGCATTGTGTACACGTAGTGTGTATATATTCATTAATGCGATATAGTACATATGGCGGGATTCGCTCAGATTCACTTACATATATTTTGTCTAGTGCCAGACCCCGAGGGAGTAGTTCCATTAGTGGTTGGCAACTAATGCAAAACGGGGGAGAGGCCCAGATCTGACGTCCCAAACGAACGAACGAACAAACGCACCTCCGATATCTTGCTTGTTCCGGATGAAAGCAAAGGGAGGCGGTAGTCTGTCCATCCATCGTACGTAGGCTGAAGCAGCCCCCGCGCCCAACGAACCCAAACCGTACTATACCAAAACGACCAGCCACCCACCAAACCCCTCAGTTAATTTTCCAATCTGCTACACAACAATCATTCCGAAACAATAAGCTCATCTAACTGTACAACATCACATTAACGACACAATTATTTCCCGGACCAATAATAAAACCGCTCACATACCTTCCAATTAAGGTTAATTAATAATTAACACCTTTGAAAAGTTTATAATCGCCGAAACGTATTCAGGACCCACACGAAATTTAATCCCG